TTCGAAGCTCTTGATTCGTGGCTTACCCGACCAAGCGCCCAAGCCACTAGTTCAGCTGCAACCATTCCCGGAATTTGGAATGCAAAAAGATCGCAGCTGAGAATCAAACCTTCTGCGGTTTATCAGTCGATTCCCACTTGATTGCGCTAACAGCAAAATACCAATGAAACAACATCGATGGTTTTTAGTTGAGAATTAGACGGTGATTTCAAACACTTATGAAGGATTGAGTGGCAAGACTTTTCTTGTCACGACCGCGCGCCCTTTTCTTCTTCAGCTTTTCTTTTTAGCGCAGATATTTAACGCTCTATTATCTTACTTATACTGATCTCATTCTCGTATGCTAGAATTTTGCAATTCATATCAAAATTATTGGCCTTATATCCTTGTAGTCGTTGCCTCGGGCAAAGTTTAGAAGGCTTCCACGTCTTTTTTATTTTCGATGTTTTTTGGCGGGTATGCCCGTCGAAAACAACATATTTCCTGTCTCACCTATGTATAAAATCAATTCCATGTGCAAAGTACAACACCCTGAAGAGAAATGGTTCTTGTGATGAGGCGACTTTCCTCACAAACGGATAATATAAAATTATGACCACTCAAGAAATGAAAAGAAATCATACAAAAAAANAAAAAAATGTGATTTGCTCCCCTAATCTCGAGGTAATGTTTTCATTTGTCCAATGAATTGGACCTTGCACTTATCGCCAGGTGGTAACTGAGTTTCACAATTAAGGAATCGTCTTGAAACGACTACAGTGCACAAAGAGCTCATGATCTGGGTTCCATTTCACTTTCGTTCTATAAGGAACCGAGCCCTTCCTCATGCAAGACATCAAATTTTTGGCACTCTCATCGGAAAAGCGTGTTGATTTATAGAACACGTGCTCGATAAGTTCCCAAACATTACGAACATGCAGCGGGTAGAGTTGCGAAAGATACGAAAACGCGGAGCAGGCGATAAATTTCGGCTTTCCGTATGCAGCAAACGAGTAATTTTCGTGGTTCTACCTCATTCACTGGATCAGGAAGTTACGGATCTTCACCTCAGTGTTACATTTATTTACAGTTGCTCGTTAAAAAAATCTCAAGCTGATTGCAATGTGGGTGTCAGTGGAAGCAGAGCGAAGTTGGGTAAAGCCTGTCTAAGACTCATGAAATGTCCAATGAAAGTAACGTCTAATTAATGCCACTGAACATAAAATAAGAGCCATGATCAGCTGTGTGCGAAGACAAACGAGCCGCATTCCCTGGTTTCNCAAAACGCATGTGGGATGCACTATCACATAAGCTTAAGTTTAAAGTTTAAAGTTTTTGGCGTTAATCAGTCCCGTCTGAGGGATGCGCCCCCGCACTCGACTTCCATACAGAATCGTAGTGGCGTAATGAGTGCGTGTGTGGCCTATACAATGACTTGCGGCGGCCAGCCGATGTACAAGTCACTGGTTTTATCCTCCCAGACGAGTCCGGTACCAATTCACCGACCCCGGAGGGATGGAAGGCTTGGTTGGCCTAGGCGGGCATCGATCAGGGATTCGAACCCCTGACCGTGTGATATAGTGCGCCACTTGCCACTGGTGTGGGTGCGGGGGCGCATCCCTCAGACGGGATCGATTAACGCCAAAAACTTTATCCTTTATCACATATGCTTAACAAAAAAAAATCTTAATCTGTTTACTACATCCGTATGAACTCGACCAAGACTGCGTGATGGAATGATTTATTGTAATTGCGCTTCATATTTACGATCGTGAACGATAAAGCTCTCCAAGCGGTTTACAAAATGCGCACGTTCTTACGCGCAAAGAAGGCGCGCTTTTCTCATAAAGGGGGGCTTGCTATGGGTCAGCTGCTAGCGCGTGCTAGTTTATTTTTATAAGCGAATTAAGAGCAAATTATAGCATGTCCATTATGTAATGTCGGGGAATCGATGGCTGCTGCGTAACTACAACAATGCATTAGAAGATGAATGAGTGTCATCCTCAGCTGATAGTCACACTATATCGCGGGAGACTTTCCGCACAAACAATGATCCTTATCGCAACATGAACTCACCAAAGAGTTCATAGTATTAAATGAACGAAAGTTAGAAGGCTATTTCGAATAGATAGCTGAAAGTTGCTGAGCTAGGGAACTGTGTCATTTAGAAGGCCGGAATTTATTCATCAGAAGGTTGACAACAAATAGCACTTGTTTTGGAAACCTGCAGAGTTCTGCGCCTCACACTTTGTTTTTGCCTCCAGTCGTAGAAACTTGATTTATTTCAGGATAATCACGATCCCGCACAAAGTTCAGGAGAAGGCAAACGTTTGGTCATTACGATTTTTCACGTCATCGACGCAGATTAGGACTTAGGATCAAAACTCTCATTAAACTGTATTTCCACTTACTTTTGCGCTGAATTTTCGGGGGTTTTGATTTCTTCGCTTTGACCAAAATTTTATGTCGGAGAGCATATGGTGATGGGAGAGGCTGATCTTCTACAAGCTGAACAATTGTAATTCTGCAAATGAATTTAGGAATCTCTAGAGAATAAAGGACTGTCTTCATGCCATTTCAAAAACACAGAAAGATACCGGATGAGTTTCCAAAGCGTCCACGAGCAGTTTGGACCCGAATATATCCCGGAATATCTCCACCATCAATTTTTGTTGCTGCTGGCACAAATGATTTTCTATAGATAAAAGCACAGGATAAGGCGATGTTTTGAATGCACACTCATCGATAGCCATGCACACAACCTGGAAAACAAAGTACATCAAGACAGCATTTACTTTTCACTCTTCACTCTTTCATGCATTCACTTAGATTTTTTAGAATGAGTTCAAATCTAACATCGAAAAACGTTTCATCGGCTGACGAAATGCGAGGTATGCAGTTCATGGAAAGAGATCTCGCCATCGTACAAAAGCAAGAGGGAAACGGTGTGTCTGAGCGTATACTCTTTTCTGACCGTAAGTTACTGCCATTAATAGGTCGTTGGCGAAGCCAAGCCTATAATGAAAGCCTAGTGGGGATAAAAGTAAAGCCAAGATGCCAGTGATAGTTGTAGGTTCCAAAGTTCTACACAAGATCGGAACGTCGTTTCCTCCGCTCTAGCTCAGTAGAAAGAGATCTGCGACTCCCAGGAAACGAAACTCGAGGGCTCGTTTGCTTACTTTGCGAGCTTCCTAGAAGATTCCGTAATGAACATGAGGAATATAACCAGCACGTCGATCATCTTCATTATAGTGATAGTAAAGCAGAGTTGTATGAGGATCCAAGAAACGAGAAACTCTCGAGCTGAGGCCCCAGTGTTTGATCGCGCAAACTATAGGCAATTATCTAAAAACGTCCGGACTTGCGAAGCTCTGCAAAGAAGCGATAAAATAATTATGAAATGTGAAAGAACAGCAGTTTTGGCCGATACCGCCGTGGCTGAGGAGAGCATTCACAAAGCTCGCCATAGCTTCTGGAGCCGTAGCCAATTACAAGATCAAGACGAGCTTCTTCGTTATTGGTCTTCAATTCGGAATAGTTACTGCATCTCGAAGGAGAATGGCGAAGGCCATCTATGACTCCCACCACTTCGTTACATCCACGTCTACTTGCTTACATACTACTTCATGTAGGATGGATGTGTAGCGTTGCTTCAGTGCTCCCTTCCGAAACTCGACATGCCATCACGTCGATGAAGATTCGTGCGGTGCACGCTGATAGGCGCGCGAAGGGAACAAACCAGAACATCTGAAGAGCCTTCCACCAGTTACATCCTCTTGTTTGAATGCAAAGTGATGTAGTGAATAACCAACAGCATTGTATCGTTGTACAAGAAGAGAAAGCACCAGAGAGGAGAATAGACTGATTTTGCTCTACAAATTTCAGCGAGAGAGACGCTGGAATCTACGGTACAAAATTTAGCGAAAGAGACTTTAGTATTTACGGTGCAGAAGATGACGTACGCTTTGAAATTATTTGGTTTACAGTTGGAAGTTCTTACATTATACGAAAGGATTGCCTATTAGAGATGAAAGCGGCTATGTATAATGAGGCCGAAAATCCTGAAGGGAACGCAAATACGCAATAACGGCTTATATCATTGAATTCGCCGGCCTTAAATGACAGTGCTCACAGTGAATGTTTTTACTCCATCATACAATGCATCGCCGGAAAAAACCAGAAGGAATGCTATGTTTGAAGGATTTCTGACGTTTTTCTGTTTACTGATTTTCTAACACATTCCGTATTCATTTCAACCTGCTACCAACATCTATCGGTGGATGTGCTATTAGAGAAACCTCGTCATAAAGAAGCTGGAATATGGAAGCATTAGTGCGGGACAAACTGCAGTAGAAGCCACTGCGAACTCAAGCGTTCACCTGCACATTCGCCTCGCATACACTAACAGCAAAAGCAACTGTTACTCCTATCTGAGTTGTACCGCGAATACTATCCGTCCTGAGGGATTGAATTTACTGAACTCAGCTCATCAAGCTCTACAATTTGATACTTCACCATGGTAAGCTCTATCTTGACTAGATTGCTTTCGATGTACTATTTTGAATACGCTTGACTCCCGTCCCTATCAAGGCAACTTACAGTCATACACACTTTTGCCCCCCTCCCCCAAATCCTACCACTGCCCTCGAAGCGGCGAGGAGGCGAAACGGAAGAAATTCCGCCTAACAATGGAGGTAATCACCCCCTTAAAATGGGCTAGCTACCCGAGGACGGTACAACAGCTTCAACACGCACAATGAGGTTCCGAAGCGGCGCAGATGGAAGCACGAGCTCCAAGTGCACTGGAGCAACGGCGACCTGAAGGGACCCATAGACAAAAAACGCCGCAGGATTTGGAGTGCACAGGACGAAAAGCTTTCGAGGCATGGAGACTGCTTACGAATTTGTACCTACAACTGCCGTACCATTGCCTCGAAGGCGGACCAAACTATCTTGAATGAGACCAGAAAGGGCCTTCGCTTCGACGTCATTGCTCTTCGGGAGACGAAAACCAAGGAAACGGCCATCAAGAAGACCAGTGACGGGCAC